AGAGACTGCGGGACCTTAACCTGTTCAGCCTTCACAAGAGAAAGCTGAGGGGGACCTGGTGACCGTCTATAAACTCACTAGGGGGGACCAAAAGGGTTTGGGAAAAACCTTGTTTCCCCTAGCGCCCCCTGGCATAACAAGGAATAACAGCCACAAGTTGTTGGAGAGTAGATTTAGATTAGACATCCGTAAGAACTACTTCACAGGGCGGCTAGGATCTGGAACCAACTTCCAAGGGAAGTGGTGCTGGCTCCTACTCAGGGGATCTTTAAGAAGAGGTTTGATGCCTTCCTGGCTGGAATCATGTGAGCCCAGTTTTTCGCCTGGCCGGGTGGGGGGTTGGACTTGAAGACCTACAAGGTCCCTTCCAACCCTACTTCTATTATTCTATGATATTCAAGGTATATAAGGTTGCAGAACAGCTTAGAATATATTTGTGGTTTTTAATTGGGAGCTAAAATTCTCTCAATTTTCACTTGGCTTTTTACTACAGTCTTTCCTCTAGGAATAGTTGGGCCCACTGGTCCTCAGGGTTTTGCCTCTGTGGGCCAGATGAGTAGCATGGGGCTGAACCATGAGCTGGATAAAGCCTCATGGGCCAGGATCAGGCCCCAAGGCCTGGCACTGCTCTCTCCCTTTCCCCAGCACCAGGATCAGGCCCTGGGACCCAGCACCACCTCCACATGCAAGGATTGGGCCTTTGGGGTCCTGGCTTTTCCCTCTTCTCTTCAGCACTCCAGGATTGGGCTTCTAGGTCATGGCATCATTTTCTCCTGGCTCCCCACACCAGGATTAAGTTTTGGGGCCTGGCACTGCCTTCATCTGGCCCTGTGCGCTAGGCTCAGGTACCCAGGGGTCCCCATGAATCCATGGAGAGCTGACACATGACATAATACCAGATGACATAATACCATGGGCCAGATCTGGCCCAAGGCCAGGGTTGAGCACAAGCACCCATGCTCTGGCCAAATTAGCCTATTTTTACAAGTAGTAAAATTGATATTTTACTATTGCCCCATGACCAAATGAAAAAGGTTTGATCTGTAAACCTATGTAAGGGTCTTAGGAACCCTGATTGATAGGATTTGCACTCCAAAATCACTTATGCACTTTGAATCTTCCATGCGTTTATTCCGTTTTATGACACTTACAACCCTCCTTATTTCTGCATAGACATTGAAGACATACCATCTCTGGAATTCTGCAAAGAAAATCTGTGCCTCTCAGCAGTAGCAGTTCAAACACAATCATTTCTTTATTGTGAATAATAGGCTTTTCAGTGCTTTTTGGCAGGCAAGATGCAAACAGCACTTCTTTTGACCTTCCCTGTTTAAGCTCATTATGGAACTATTTTATCTGCTGCATGATTTCTCCTCACTTCCAACAATAAACATAATTTTTACAAAGATAATTCAGAAGTAATCCATTATTGTTCTTTCATCACTTGTATTTTGCTTCCTGCATATCGACCCCAAGTGGTGTTTGGGAACCAAGCAAGGTTCAAAGAGTCAGTCCCACCAAAATTAAATATTCACAAACGTAAGTGTTGATAAATTTGAATAATGAATTTAATCATGAGATCCAGCCAAGTAGCAGGGAGAAGTAGACTGGATCCTAGTGCCCACGCATCTCAGTCTGGAAGCCCCTCACTGGAAAACACTGGTCTAATCTGGAGGCCTAGTTCAGGAGGCAGGTCTCCTAAATTATCTCAAATACTTTTTGCCATTTGAATAGTTTTGGTTAGGAAGACCCCCAATTCTCCCTGTGTCCTGTAAATGAATATTCCAATACTTTCCTTAAGTGAATATGCATATTTACAATTTGTATTCTGAGACAGCTGAAGGAAAGGGGCATAAGAATTTTTTCCATCATTCTGAAAAAGTTCTCTTGTGTCCTCATTAGAAGTTTGACACTACAAGGAGTGGATAGTGGAAAAGGAAGCCCATGCAAAATTCAAGTAAAATATCTTGTCACAAAACTTGAATATGACTCTGGTGCCTGATGCACTGCAGGGGCATTCTGAGTTTAGGAGAGTTACTTTCACGCTCCGCTAAACCCACAAGAATGAAGGTATTCACATGGGCCTCAGAGTTGTATGCATTGACATCATGCTTTACTGTGGGTACATAATACTTGACTGGAAGTTAACATTACAAGAACATGCACTAAACTGACTCAGTAGATGATATGCTCACAAATGAAATTTCACTCATTTTGATCCAAAAGTAAGCAGTACCGTACCAATACTGCTCACTCTTGAACCAAAATGAGTCTTGTTGTAATTGATTTTTCAGTTTGCACTGGAACACGTAGTTCTTATAGCAGATGCCATTGTTACAGGATGGAGAGTACACTTAGAAAAGCTGAAAGGCCAAGAAGCCTGCTTATGTACAAAATGAGAAGAAAGCATAATTGTTCTTGAACTGACAATAACATTAGCTCTTCTATTAAAAAAGCACTCACAGCCCTAATGTCATATGGTCTTTTCCTCTTGGCTTTGGAACATTTTCTTCTGCTGTCCCTTCCTTGTTGTCTGGCGCTTTACCTCAGTGCTATAGATGTCATGAGATGGAACGAAGAATTTCTCACTTTGTAATTCCCATTTCTTATCTGATACCAACACAGTTATTTTCTACCCTTATTAGTAGAATTTTAGGCAGAATAATTTATTCTCTTTTAGTATGGCATGGTAACATTTTTTTAGACTTTTACATTGCAGTTTCTTGGAAATCCAATGCAAATTTAATCCAAAGTAATTTAAACTTCCAATCTCAATTTTAAAATTTCCCATGATAGAAAATCCAACATATCCCTTGATAAATTGTCCCATAGTTGATTAGTTTTACTATTAAAAATATAAATAAAAATAAAAATTGTACCTTTTCCAATCTAAATTTATATTGCTTCAGCATCCAGTGATCTTATGTCCCCTAGATTAAAAAAACCACTGTATTATCAAATTAGTCCTTATAGCCAAACTGTGGCACTGGGAGCAGTTCTGCTACCACAGTTCCCAAGTGCTTTTTTTCATAGTCACTTTTTCCCAGTGGAGAGTCCTATATCCTACATTTTGTGTTCCTTGATGTATGACCACTGGCCTGCAGAATGGAAAAGTGTCTAGTCCAAAAAGGTTGTTACTGCTAAAAACGTCCCCCCACAATTCCATCCCCCCTCCCACCTCATGCCTAGTTTATAAAGAAGTCTAGATTTCTTTGTATCAGTGACCTTTCTTTCTCATTAGGGACCACTCCTTGAATCTATCTCACCTGATTAAGAAATGAATAATTAATTACTCTAATTATGTTCTATTTTGAATCTTACGGTTTCCCAGAAAATTAATTAACAAACTCAAAGTTCTGTGTCATATTTTGTCACACCTACAGTACTTTAATAATAAAATTTGAATACAGTACCATTTCCTGAATGATTTATGAATAGAACACATTTAATCTTTCTTGTACCAAAGAAAATGATATTCCACTTTATTTTTGGACATTCAGCAATAAGATAAGATTTAGTTTCTACGGTAGTATGTTTATAAAATGCCGTGTAAAAATTTCAACAATGTTATCCATTATATCAATATGTAACCTGTGTTTTTACAGGAAAAAAAATGATTTCAGACTTTAACACTGTTCACATAATAATGTTGTTGGCTTGTTCTCATTAAAAATTATATTTGGCTGAATATGGTGGAAACCAGTTGCATGTATGATTCCTAAAATGTTTTGAGACTTCTGTTTTTCCTAATACTTTATATTGTTTTCTACTTCATACAATGCCAAATTCTGAGAGACAACTGAAGCTTACACTGCATTTAGCAACAAGCAACAGGGGCTTAGGTCCCATCAGGGTTCAGGTCTAAGTTTGATGAGTTTTTCAGCCAACCTAAGATATAGATGCATAAAAATATTTCTTTTTTGTGTTTTTTCCCCCTGTAGGTTTCTTTGATTAGTTTAACAGCTAACGCGTTGGGCTACTCAGAACTTGGTCCAATTAAATCACTTAGAACACTAAGAGCCTTGAGACCTTTACGGGCTTTATCACGATTTGAAGGAATGAGGGTAAGAAAAACGGAAAGAGTAATGCATGCAAAGACGCACAATAAATTATATAACAGTATAGAAATGATGTACTGTGCATCTGTTATTGAAACTTACACTACTATGTTCTATTATACTGCATTTAAGCATATCAATTGTGTGCTTTGCCTGTGCTTGTTTGTTAATTGAAGTCCTAGCTATTTTTCCACAGAAAGACAAGATGCAATAAAGCCACAGTTTTATTAACAAACTTGGGAATGACCAGCAAGCGCTCATACAGTCCAGGTCATAAATTTCTTCTTTACCTGTCTCTACCAAATGAAGGATTGCTATCAGTCTTCCCTACTCTTCCCCACACCTCTACAAATAGATACCAACCCACTCTGGGTCCCCAGTGCTCTTTCCTTGTTCTGGGGCTGGGGAAAGTGTGTAGTATCTTCAGTTTATACACATTGGGCACCCAACTCCTTTGAGAAACTCGGTCCCTAGTTTCTTAAAGGGTACCTCCTCCTGAGTCTACTTTAAGTTCTCTTTTCAAGGGGACCAGTTTCTCTAAGGGGACCTGGTTGAAAGAAAAAAGTACCCAGCCAAAAGGAGACATCAACGATTAGCTTGTGTGCTTCTGTCCTCCCCCTGCCTCCAGCTTCATAGCAGATAATTAATAGTTCCCTTTCTACTGTTAGCCAAAGAGTTATCTGTGCCCTGGTCAGTGATGTTGTTCTCCATCATACCTGAATGACCCAGATACCAAATATGGTCTGTTCACTAAGCCTTCCCATTCCCAAAGTTTAATACGTCTTCTGGATTTGTCAATTTATGAAAGTCTGGCAGGTTCCTGACACATCCTGTTTCATCGAGTCAAACCACTTTTCAGTCATCCCCATGAAAAGGTACTGGACTTAGCTAAAACGTTCTAGGGCCTCCTCACAAATTTTGAAATAATTTTTACCCAATTTTATAAGAATTATTTCTGGTGACTGACTACCAAAGAGAGTCAAACGCTCATCCCAGAGCATTTCCCTTTGCTATGCCCACTCAGACTGAGATGCTTGTGAGGTCCAGCTCTGAATCTTCAGAGAACCTGCCAGCCTGTGTGTGGGTCCAGTGTCCTTGTTTATGGATCCAAATACCAGCTTTCATGACCTATTCCCATCCCAGCCCTGCCATGCACACCACTCACTTCCCAGGTTTTTCCATGTTGCATATGCTCTCAGTCTGGGAGAAGAGTGGGGGGAAATGCTTAGCCAGATTACCAACTGCCCTGGGACTAATTCAGTTCTCACCATCTGCTGGACTCAGACATAGGCTGTCTATACTGCCTCTGCTATCCTGGCTGCTCTATGATCCTGGAGTGATTTCAGCTGGGATTCATTGGGCTGTCACTGTAGTTTTCTGCAAAATTTGTCTCTCACTGGTACTGATTAAGATCCTCTTAACTGCTTAAACAGTTAGAAACATTGTCAAATCCTGTTGGCTGTCATACAAAATCTGTAGCAAAGAAAAGACAACAATTATTCTTTTTTTTCTTAGGTAGTTAATCACAGTAATTAAAGTATGCTGACCACAATAGAAGCCATTTATCAAATATGCCTAAATTTAAGATATGCAGATCTTTTTATTACACAAATGGAGTGACTGTGCAGTTTTCGCTCACAACAGTTAGATACGATTAGTATTTTTCTTCACTTACTATTTTTCTTTCAAAGTTTCTTGCAGGCACCTCCATTTAGTGCCATGCAAAATGCTTCTTATTTGGTCTGCTTTTTATTTTTCAGTAACTGTTGTCATCTTGTTCTCAACAAAATTCTGAGAGGGGTATAAACCTAACTTCACTCTGTACTGCCTTGCTATGTTTCTATAGTGACATGGACTAATGTTCATGATTCTGGCCCTGAGATGAGGCCTGACAGAAAAAAAATGTGCATCAGAAGCACATAAAGTAGTTTGTTAATAAACAATTTCTGGTATATCTTGGGGACTTTTTCTGAATAAAGAAAAAATACAGCCCAGTTCATAAGTGAAGAAAAAATCAAATTCCTACCAGTCTTACTCTTTCCTGCAGTATTCTAAGAATACCTGGGCTGTGTTACCATTAAAGTACAGGCTTCTTAAAGTGAGCATAAGTCAATAAAAGTAGAAAGTTGTGCCCTTCAACGATTCTCTAAAGGATCTCTCTTGTATTTTTTTTGGGGGGGGGGGGGGGGGGGGG